GGACGTTTTCTTGTCCTTATATTTGCTTAGGTCTAAAGGGAAAATGCTATATACGGTTTGTCACTATTAAAAGAGAGACACATGTACTAAATTAAGTATTTTTTTTTTGAAATTATTAAATGTAATTTTTAGATATTATAAAAAAATCGATAAAGAGAGAAAAAACGTTGTTCAAGTAAGAAATATTTATATTTTCTATATCATTATACGAGAATAAAAGCACGAACTCCTAACGCAAAAATAGATGAATTATTTTCTTTACTTTTTGTTCAAGTACTCAAACACATTATTATATAATTGTTACGTAATTATTAAAAATTGGTATATTTATTGGTATATTTATTGATATAGGGTACACGCGCAAAGCGCGTACCCTAAGACTAGTACTTTAAAAAGTCAAAAAGATATAATTTTTGTTGTTGCTTAGTTTATGATGTTTATAGTTATACAATGTAAATATATGGCTTACTTTTAATCGAAATTTCAAAAGTATTTTTTCTTATTTTTATTCTTAAAGTGTATCGTATAAAATGATATAAATAAAATTATTTGTAATCGGTCTTTGTGTAATTTTCTTTTTATAGAACTTAAACACAAAGACTAAACAATTAGGTGGCACCTACACCTAAAACGTAAACGAATTAAATTGACTGCAATTTGGAGGTCTAGTCGTTGGTAGGTCTCGACTCTTGAATTTCTACTGCATGTTACGTGTTGGAGTGATTTAGGTATGACAAGTAAATTTCATATTTTAATGATTCTTATGCGCACCGTAATTTAAATTAATCCTCGCTTCAATATTACTATTGAGTACCAAATGAAAAATCAAAAAGAAAAAAGTGTTGGGTTTTATGTATTTAATTATATCTATATTATATTAAAAGGAGAGTAGTTTGCAATGTGGTTAAGCTCAGTGGCAAGCTAAAATGAAGCCACTTGGCAATTTTAAGACAACATAAAAAATTTGGATTATAAATNCAATTATATGTTTTTATTGTCACATTTAGCAAACTTAAACGTTCAATATTCACGTTTGAACTTTATATAGGTTCCCGTTAATCTTATTACTTCAGTAAAAGCATGTAGTTCAGTAAAAGCGACAAGGTTTATTTCCATGAAATACCCGATGAGGTCATTCATAGCTTGATAATTATGTCAATGTCTTTAAAGGAGGAAGGATTGTTCTTTACCTGCAACACTAACTATTAGTCCAATTGTGAAAATTTAAAAGGGGATTACACTTAAAGTTGTTGGAGGGTAATGCTTCAAAAGTACCATTCGCGCATCGCGCGTGTTTTGATACTAGTTATATTAAAAGGAGAGTAGTTTGCAATGTGGTTAAGCCAAGTGGCAAGCTAAAATGAAGCCACTTGGCAATTTTAAGACAACATAAAAAATTTGGATTATAAATGGAAAAATATTTAATGAAAGTAGTAGTCCAAGATTTTCTATAGGTATCTTTAATTAAATTTGTGTATAATTCAATTATGGTAGGTATCCTTTTTTTAGCAAGAATCAATTAAAATTTCATTGAAATCTTATACACTAATTTTAAGTTGAAATAATAATTCTTTAATTCTTTATTTTGTATAAGTTTTGTATCTAACCTTATTTGGGGACGATATACATTATTATAGGTATCTTTAATTAAATTTTGTGTATAATTCAGTTATGGTATGTATTCTTTTTTAAGAAAAAAATTATTTAAATAGACATTTTGTATCTTACAAAATCGATAGTTCATATCAAACGATCCCTTACTATTGAAAAATATTTGTTATAAATTTTACTTTAGAGCTAAAAATATTTTTTTTTAGAAACATGTGATGTAACTAAATTATTGAATTCCAAATGTTTGTTAATGCAGGCTTTATATGATGAGGTTTAAATTAGTGAAATGAATCTTGCAATTGTTTTAAAAAATAATTTTTAAGGAAAAAGACTCCTAAACTGCCATATTTCTTACATATCTTTTAGACTATTATCCTTAATGAAAAATAGAGTTAAATAAATCACTCAGATAATTAATTAAGAATAATAAGGTAATCAACCGCGTCAAGTGGTGTGATAAGAAAAAGTTAATAAACATTATAATAAAAATATTGAATTTAGATTAAAACATATTTAAATTGAGATAAAGAAAATTTAAATTGAAAGATAAAAGTTTTGAATTGAAAGATAGTCTTTTTTATTCAAAAATCAAGTTTGATTGAAAGAAGAATTATGATACTATTAAAAAAATTGCAGATCTTATAGATTTTTCTTCGTGCTTCATTGTTGTTGGATTTTCTTTTATAAATCAAGGTCTGCAAATGTGTAAATATAGTATTTATATATTGTGTATCTATATTTGTTAGAGATGTGATACTATATGATATATTATAGGAATATGATATTATTAGAATATTCTTAGGAGAGATTTTAGGGAGTCTGAGCTTAAACTCATGTATATATACTCTTCTTCCTGGGAATGAGAAAGCAAGTCCGATCCATCTAAAATTGTGCAATCTCTAATGTATTATTTTTCCCATTGAAGCAGTGGTAGTACGGTGAATTCTCCTTTTCTTTCTTATTTATGAAGCTTTGAAAAAATTCTATAACCATGATATGATATTGTTCTTAATGTTTAATTCATTCATTTTCCAGAAGTATATCATCATTTCTTAAAAGTAATTAGTATGATTTTCTGGTGAATTTGAATATTATAAGGTTCATCAAGTTGATATAAAACGGAGGCATTCTGTGTTGTTCATAATTGGATAATGTATATGTGCTATATGTAATTACAGATAATTATTGTATTTAAATTTTCAGTCAAATATTTTATAATATCATCTATCATTTATTTTGACTATTTTGATTTCAACAGGCTTCCTGTTTGGTTAAAGAACATAGAAAATACTCTTTCGAATATCTACAAAAAGAAAAAAGAGTAATAGCTACAACTGTTAAATGTTAGAGAACCCGTTCTTTGTATGGTAATTATCTCAATTGATTGGATCCATTTGATGCATTGTTCTTTAAAATAGAGCACCACGGACCGAGAACAACTTCTTTGTAATATAAGATGGTATCGAGAATCTCTGGAGTTATTTTCTCATTAGTGTATGCATTGAAAGAACATGATTTGAAATGGTATATATGTCTAGAAATGATGTCGAATTGAATTGTACTTCGTCTTTACTATGACTTAATTCTCATTTGCTTATTTTCAAACCTTTTTATGCACTTTTTTTTTGCTTTTGCAAATAATAGAATATGTTATTTGTATGGTATGCCAGGAATATAATTATTCAGATTTTTTTTTTACTACTTTTCTCTATTTAAATAGTAGTAATTTAACAGTTACAAAATTATTGAAAATTTAAAAAAATAAAGGTCAAATTACTTTTAAACAAAAATTATTTTGTGTTATTCATAGCTAAACTTAATTTTATTCTTCTTTTTACCATTTTTTTGCCTTCTCAACCGATTGAATTTTACTGGATCAATGATTCCTAGCTATAAAATAAGAGTGTGAAAACAAATTAAATTTAAGAGTTAGACTAAGTATTGCATAATGCAAAAACGAACCAACATGGTTTAAAAGGTTGAAAGAATAATACTTATTTTAGGTTGAGATGAGGAAGTATTTTTGATTTTTGATTTGATTATTAAAATAATATGATTAATATTTTTTTTAATGTTATTCGCGCATCGCGCGAGTTCTAATACTAGTTAAATACTTAAAAGAGGGTGAATGGGAAATGGAGGGAAATGAAATTTTTGAGTGAAATTTTAAGTTTCCCCCTTGGCAAAGGGACATTGTCCTATATTGGAAGATGAAAAGGTTTTTGATGGGTATATAAACAATTGCTCTTCTTCTAGCTCATAAAGAGTTGAGAAGAAGGCGAGCCTCGCGCCATCGTCGCTCGGCTCGGCTTCGGCTTCGGTCAATTTCAGTGTTCTGTATCCAATTCAGTTATCCAAATTTCAGTTTTCTGTTGAGTAAATAGCCATTTATGTTATGATATTTATGCTGTGGCCGTTTTGCATAAACAGCCATTCTGAAGAGTTGCACCTCTTCAGATTCCAACCCAACTTTGGCTACTTTGTGTTCGCTGAAACACTAAGGTTTGAAGTACCACTACACCAGTGTGTAATTCGTTCTATCCTGGGAGGAAATAATCCATAACCTTGGGTACTAGGAGGGGATTAAATTCCTTAAGAAAATACTGTGAATTCAGTGGGTTCGAATTGATTTCTATCTCTTTACGTTTTCTTTTTATATATTGTTCTGCTTTACTTTTTCCAGAATTAGTTTACAAATACAGTTTACTAACAAAAAGTATGACGACTCATCAATTTTAAATTTCTAACACGATTGATTTTCTCAAATAAAAAAATACAATCAAACATTAGTTGTCTCATTAAATCACAATTCAAATTGTAGTGTTTAGGTGAATTTTCTTTTACTTTCTTTAATTAATCAAAGAAAAAGAACTTGAGTTATTCATCTAAAACATTTATTAGTATAGTCAAAATTCAGAATCGATGTTGAAATGGCACCAAGTAGCCACTTTTAATGTTACTATTTAAAACACAATCATATTTTATAACGTATTGAAATTTTAATCATTTCGCTGTTGCCTCCTTTTCCTCTTCAAACATCTCATGAAATAACTTGAATTATGCAAATCTTTTATAGATTTCAAATATTAACGTACCTTAATTTATCTGACTTATCAAATCAAAATACTATAAAAGGTTAAATTATCACGACAAAGAAAATTGATGTTGCATTATTTTTTATGGTTTATCACAAAATTGCAGTTCAACCGAATTGCTAAAACTTTAAAGATATACTTGAAGGTCTAGAAACAGATCTCTGCCGCTTTTTTAAAATTGTGACTATATTTTAAATATTCAGAATATGTTTTAAATAGTAGTCATAAAAGTGGCTATTAGTGCACTTGCCCAATATTTCTCAGACTGGTCCAATAAATACAAGAAAATTCGAATGAGACCCCAAATTTTGAGAAGTCATGTCTTCACTTCAATACACTCGCAGTCGCTTCTCTGTTGCTCTCAGAGTATTCACTCAGCGCAGATTTTCTTCTACAGTTACTTGTAGTAAAACTCCTTAAGCACCTAAATTTCAAATATTTATGCTCTTTTTTTATTTTTTAATTTTAGTTCTTTTGATTTTATGCAGATGCTTCAGAAGAAGAGAAAGTCACTGATGCAACTGAAGAAAATTCAAGATTCATTCATCCCTCTTCAGTTGTTCATCCCAATGCCATTTTGGGTGATGTAAAGTTACATTCTTTTGTCTCTTTATGCCTTTTTACTCATGAAAATTTGAAGTTTTTGCCATTTTTTTTATGTCTGTTTGAGGAGCAGTATTTATTTTTTGATTCAATAGTTAATCAATGGACTATGCTTCAATTCCGAACTAGGTGGGGTCGGTTATGAATTCTCTGTAACCCATTTGCGAGACTTATCACATTCTAATTTTTGCACATAGGTGAAGTTTTTTGTTTGCTTTAAAATTGTGGTTTTTTTTTTTTTTTTTTGCTTCACTGCATTTGATTAAGGTTGTAACCTCTGATTGTAAACTTACAGGGTGTCTTGTCAAATTACTTCCTCTATTTCAATTCATATGTCTTGCTTTCCTTTTTAGTCCGTTTGTAAAGCATGCCGCTTTCTATATTTAGTTAACCTTTTAATTCCAATATCTCACATGGTATATTTTAGACGCAAGATTCAAAGGGCATTTTAGTACACTATACACATCTTTAGTTTAGGACCACAAAATTCAAAAGTCTCCCCTACTTTCTTAAACTCTATGCCTAGTCAAACTAAGACATATAAAATGGAACGGAGGAAGTAAGGGCAAAGTTTCAAACTTTTGCTGCATAGGAAATAATAAGTCATGGCCGTTTGCATTCAATACCATTGCTCAGGTGATATGTGTCTTCTTTTTATAACTTCTAATTACAGCTTAGCTAGTGAAGATTTGAGAATAGAAATGTTGAAGATCCTTTCTCCAAGGAAACTTTTTAGTGTGCAGTCTTAATCTAGAATTGGTTTTGTATTTCTTTCTACCCTTTTTTTTTTTTTTTTTTTTTTTTTTAATTTAATATTGGAGGTACTTCATGTAACTCTTTTTCTTGGATTTAGCAGGCTTAACTAAGAATAAAATGAAGTGGAGGTAAAAGGTCCATTGGGTAATTGCACCAAAAGGTATAGCCTAGTAGTCAGTGAAGTGAAAATCATGGGAGACTACGGTTCAAATCCCGGAGAAGACAAAAAGTAATAAACGATTTCTTCCCATCTGCCTAAGCTTTGATGGTTAGACTTACTCGATATGTAACGAGTACACGATGAAATAATGAACTACACGCAAACTGGTCCGGACACCACTGCTATTAGAAAAAAATCCATTTAGGTAAATCCAACTTGTTGGGATTAAGGTTTAGTTGATATTGCACTTATATTAGGTTGGATGTCTGCTGTGAATCCTTTAATTCCAGTTAAAAATGTATCTTAGCATAGAGATAGTGCGAGATATAGAGAACTTTAGTGTTAGAGAACCTCGAACGTGCCGTACTTTGGGCTGAAATATGCGCGGAATATAGCAAAATGAATGCACAGGTTTCATATAGCCAATTTCACCTAGTTGGGATCGATGCATAGTTGGTTGGTTGATTGATTGTTCTATCAGAAATTGTCACATTTCTTCCTTTAACTCATTTCAGCTGGTTTACTGGAGATGTTAAGCTTTATATGTTACGGCCTTAGCTGAATTAGCATTTTGCCGATACTTGAAGGAGCTTTCTCTCCATGTAGGGTGTTTCAATTGGTCCCTTCTGTACCATTGGGCCTTTTGCAAAGTTGGGGAGGGCTTGTCAACTGTACCCTGGGAGCCACATCTTTGGAAATACTGAACTGGGGGACAACTGCACTCTGATGACGTGAGTTAAATTTTTTTTATTCTACTTCGATGTACTTCCTTTCCGTTCTCTCCATTGTCGTTTAGGGAGTGTATTTTTAACAGTGGTGCTGTAATTGGAGATGATCTTCCTGGTCATACAGTCATCGGGAGAAACAATATTTTTGGGCATCATGCTGTAATTGGTGTCAAGTGCCAAGACATGAAATATAAGGTCGGTATCCTGATGTTAAACTCATTACTGAAAAAAAAAGTTTGAAAAACATCATGATTCATCCACACCTAAATTTATGCAGTACTGTACTAGATCATCTTATGACAACATATATATTTAAATGTGCGTTGCAGTCGAATTAAGAAGCATTTTGGTTTGGCTTCTGAGCTCAGATTGGTCTCCATCAATATGATGATCCATCTCTTCATCATGATCACTTTCTTCCCACCTTCAAATTTAAGTAGGTGGTGCTTATTTGAGAATGAAGATAATGATTATCTTGTATGTAATTTTAACCATCTCAGCTTGGGAATGAGTGCTTTCTCGAGATTGGTGACAACAATGAGATCAGAGAACATGTATCCATCCATCGATCTTCAAGTCCAAGTGATAAAACCGTAAGCAACTAGCTCATCTAATCTTTCCGCGGTGCAGAAAATTATAAATTTTGGTACATGGTTATCTGAAATGAGCTTACATAAACAGGTTATTGGTGATAACAATCTTATTATGGGCTCTTGCCATATAGCTCATGACTGCAAAGTGCGCAACAACAATATTTTGGCGAACAATACACTTCTCGCTGGCCATGTTTTGGTGGAGGTTATTGACTATTCCTTTTTAGTCATTTTTGTGAAGCATGACCTTTTCTGGAAAATTTAATCTAACGGATATGTGATTGTTTAAATTCTTCACATACAGGACTATGCTCACACTGGAGGAGGTATTGTAGTTCATCAATTTTGCCATATTGGTTCTTTTTCTTTCATTGGTGGTGGTTCAGTGGTAAGATTCTTTCCTTATTCAAATTGTTTGCTGTTTTTTCCGGTGTTTTACTCCAATCAAACAGAAGAATAGTTTCTTTTCCAAAACTTAAATCTTTTGCTCATGATAAACTAAGATAGCAATAGTTTCATAGTTAGCTAAGCATCTATAATTTGCACGTCATGATAACTTAGCTTCTAACCACTTAGTTTAAGTGGAAGATCTTCAAATTGTTTCTTCTGCACTGCTAAATCTAAAGCACAGATATTCAAAGTGCAGCATGCTAACTGCGATCTTTTAGATCACGTGTGTGTTTCCTGTTGGGATCTCAATCTTTTTGTTCTCCAGGTTTCTCAAGATGTTCCAAAGTACACGATGGTGTCGGGGGAAAGAGCTGAGCTTCGTGGGTTGAATCTTGAAGGCCTAAGACGTCGTGGATTCTCTGCTACAGAGGTTCGTTTCATTTTAAAACATTGCTCTATATTTCTAGCAAATAGATGTAGGAATTTAAATTTTGATAAGTGGAAACCATATATGTGTGATACGGGTCGCTCTCGAGGTTTTAAATTGGTCCTGTATCTTCACTGCACTATGTAATTTTGTAAGCGGAATGTATTTAGCAGCATCTGCTTTATCATGAGCCAGTTCCAGCTAATATTATTGGTTTGTATTTAACTCTTTTGCCTACTGTAATCATAGTGTCTCAGCGGCTAAAATCCGAAATCCTCTGCCCTAACCTTTGCTATGACTTGTTTTCAACTTGGTACTGTTTTAATCAATACGAAAAAGCTTCTTTTGTTCTGTGCTGTTCATTCGGGTGAAAGGACATGCTGCTGCATATATTGAACATGTGCTAAGTAAGAATAATCCCAGTGAGGAAGAAATTCTTTGAAATATTTAAATACTGATCCTAAAGGTTGACATATGAGACATATTGCATAATCTGGTAAGTTGAAATGTTTCTCATTATCTTCTTAAGGTTATTTAAATTTTTTCTTAGGTAATACATTTGGGGCTTAATTAGAATTTTTAACCTTTTCAAAATTGGATGCGCATATGCTGTTTTTATGGAAGTTACAGTGTCAGATGTTGTTTAAGAGATTTACACGTTTTACCATTTCAATATATTTTGCTTTCTGCAATATTCTTAATCTTTAAAAGCGCGTCACATTCCCCACAAACTAGAGGATGTTAACTCTTGACATCCTCTAATTAATTTAACAATTTGTTCTTTAATTTCATTTAAGAAAAACTATTTGTTAATTGATTAGAGGATGTTAAGACTTAAGTATTATGCGTAAGTTCTTTCCATCAAAACGTCTTGTTTTATGGGAGCCACTCCACAGCCAGCACCAAATAAACCGTTTTGGAAAATTTGTTGAGATGGAGATTAAGATATAACAGCTTATGTGAGATTTTTTCTTAAGTTTTGAAATAAAGAATACGTTACAAAGCCTTCACTGATTTGTGTCTCAGTTGTCTTTTCCCCGTAAATAAAAAATGGTTTCAAAGAGATTAATGTGGTCTGATAAGATGAATTCTGTAGATCATTTTTCCCCCAAGGCTTTGGTTCAGTTGTAAAGATGAAACATGTGATGATTGGATTAGGCGTACGTCACGTATACGAACTTTGTCACGGACAAAGCCTGGTATTTAAGTTGGGAGGTGGGAAGAGGGGTTCCCGGAGTTGTGAACCTGTGCGCCAACACAAGATGAGCAAGCAGCCCACATGGGATTTCTCCGATAATAATAAAAAAAAAAGAATTGTAGATCTTTTTTCCTTTTCCATTACAAGCTATTGAAAGATTGGTCTGCTATCAATTTCAATATGTTAAATTGCTCTAATTTTATCCTTAATTTTTATATTCCTGATTTAATTTAATATTTTCTTGGCAAATATCCAGATTAAGAGCCTGAGAGCAGCTTATAGAGAGATATTTATGCCCACTGATAGGAGTTCTGGGAATATTGAAGATCGACTCGCTCAAGTGGTATTGAGTTGCTTTGAATTTTTTGATTGATTTTTTCTGATAAGGAAACAATTAAGTACTATTTGATTGATAGTATCCCTCTTCTAAAAATGATGTAAAAAGGCAACGTATTTTCAGGAGCAACACAAAGAGCTGAGTCTACTTCCAGCTGTCTGTTCCATGGTACAGTCAATACGTGATTCTTTTGGTGAACATCGCCGTGGAATTTGCAAATTTAGAAGTCAGGGTGGATCTTAGCTCCTTTTCTTCGTAAGTCTGCTGTTTATTTTACTCTAAGTTGCTCGGACATGGGTGCGGGTGTCCGACACAGGTACGGATCTAGAGGTCCGATCCTTCGAAATGTAAAATCTAAGATTCGGGGATATGGATCCTAGTACGGATACGGGTGCCAGGATTCGGCTAAAAATAATTTAAAAATATAAAAATATCTCTAAATTATGAGAATTTTTGTGAAATGCTTGCGTATAGCTTGTAAACTATGGATTTCTTTTTTATTCTCAAGTTATAGATAAGTAATGGATTGATTTTCTAGATAAGGTATGCTATTTTCTTCAAATTCACCCTAGTTTTGTTTTTGATTTCGGGAATCAAATTATATTTCGTCTCGAATTTTGTCGTCCGTCGTGGTCAAAGTACCCAAAATTGTTTGACCAGATCCGGTACGGATCCCATACCCACACCCATACTAGTGTCGTGTCGACACGGGTGCGGCACCTAAACTGCCGTGTCAGAGCAACTTAGATTTTACTTTTAGTATGCTGTCCTAAACATATATTATACTATCTGCTTGTTACTTCCTGTACTTTGAGTTGCATCAACTGAAACTTGGTTGCCTGATTTTTTAAGCCAACCATTTTTAAGTTTTCTTAACCAATCTCTATACTAAGTTGCATTGTTTCCTGGATTTCTACTTTTGGCCACATTAATCTTTTTCATGGTGGTGCTTGTAGTTTTGCCATCTGATGTAAACTGGCAATAGAAATACTTCACAGCTATTTCTTGCTAAGTTTGAAGATTGACTTCAAGTAGTGAATTCATTCTAATGGAGAAGCGTTTTATGTGCATACATAGTATCCTTATGAAGGAATGCGATAGCATCCTTTTCTACTTATAATAACAGACGCGATTGAGTAAAACTTTTCTATATTTGGAATTAGTGACCAGTATGTATGTGTTTATTGCAAAACCTTTACTGAATACCTGGTTTACAGTACTTGCAATATTCAATACTTTTTTGCACTAGTAGTATTTTCTTGTGCTTTTTAATGAACTAACTGAATAGAGTTAGTAATGTGGGAGGCTTCCAATTGGTAGTGGCTATACCTCGTTATACAATTGATATCTACCGTGCATGACAGGTGAAAGCAAGCATTTGCTATTTAGTGCTGCTATGATTAGTTGGTGAATTAAGAATGCACATTATTTCACAGATTCTTTCTGAGCTTATAAATATGGATAAAAAACCATTTTTTTTCTTCTACTTTTCAGCAAGAATTCCGAGTTTCACCTCTATCATGGTCCTTGATCTCGTACTACACCAAAATGTAAACAAACAAAGAAATGCTGCTCGTCTTATGAAAGTTTTTATAAGGTGAACAATCCTATACAAGGACCATATTCATTATTTAAGCTCATTATGGAGGAGTGATGAATTGAGAAGAAATCCGTCTGAATGGGCTATATGAGGCTTATCATGTCATAGTTTGTATATCTCAAAGTTGCATCTTCCAGATTCTTTGTCGTCGAGTGTAGCAGTTCATTGAGTTATTCTGCCTCTCCGGTAAAAACTTTAGTCCCTTGTTCTCTGTCCTGATGATATTGACCAGTTGTTTGTGGATTCCAACAGCAATACCGCTTCTTTATCACCTTGTAATGATATACATCAACATTGCAACCAAGTTCCCGCTTTTATACTAGTTTTCCACCAATTCCGATCTCTGTTACTCTGTATCTGTAGTTCTTTGCTTGGTCTCGTTTGATGGAAGACAGTCATTAGTGTAGATGAACTATCTTTTCCGATAGTCACCAACTATACTTCAATACTGCTTGGATTTACTATTCTAATTATTCCGAAATCTGGCATAAGCATGTCTGATCTCCCAGATACTTAGAATGTGACTGATTTTTATTTCTTGGAAAGTTAACTATCCTTTGGACAATCAGGTCCACTTTGTGATTGCACTTTTTAAAGGGTATTATCACTTTTAGTTCGCGCCAGAAACTATTTACATTCGGTAGCCAAAAATGTGTGTAAAATTTGTATAATTTTTGTATATAACATACAGAATAAACATACACACGCACACACCCATATATATTTTGGTTATTATTTTGAGAGCGGTTATACAGTGTCATTTTCTCCTTTTTAAAGGGCTTGTTTACTGCCTATATCAGAGTGGACTTGACTACTAGAGGATGTCGATTCCTGGAAAATGAGTGCTAAACCTCTTATAGAGGTTTATATGAGGGCTTGCATGGGCCACTAGGGCTTAGTTTAAGTGGCAAAGATTGAGGGACTTATGAAGTAGGTCACAGGTTCGAGCCTTGTACGATGTGAATTCAGCCTGGTATTTAAGTGGAAAAGAATGGGCGAAGTGCACGAGTAGTTACTTTTAAGTTTGCTGTTTAAAATATATCCATAATTTATAATGTATATAAAGATTAGCCAATTCATATAAACTTCAGGACATATGATTCAAATATATCCATATGATTTGTTTATCTTTGTTCTTGAAATTAAGATTCCTTCTTGGGATAACAATGCTAAATCATGAGGGGTGCAAGTACAATGATGATAATATAAATATGTGGATATTTTCTATATAGGATAGAGACAATCCCCTTCAAAAACTAAGATTTTTTTGTCGCAGATTTTACTAGCAAAAAAATAAAAATAAATGCATCTTTAATTAGTAAGAGTTTCTTCCCATTTGCAATAAAGTACTAGTACTACTCCAGACCATTGGTCTAGGTAAGAGCGCACCGTATGATGTGTGTTAGGCGCACATCACGGGTTTGAATCGTGTTATAGGTAAAATTTTGGTATTTAAGCAGAGAACAGAACCAGAAGTAGTAGGATTGATTCTCATAATAATAAAATAAATAAATATGTCGAAAAGATGGATGAGTTCATTATCCATTGAATTTCGAATCCCGACTTGCTGGCCCTTGAATCTAGAAGGCGGATTTAAAATTTAAAGTTTATTGATTTTTTTACAGTGATTTTACATCAATATACAATAATAGTTAGATTCAATTAAATACTTATAAATTCCGTAGGTACACCATTGATCCGTCACTGCCTACCCCCCCCCCCCCCCCCCCACCAAAAAAAAAAGAAAAGAAAAATAAAAGGCATATTCCAGAAAACTCTTGATAGATCAATATCAATATTCTCTTTTTCACTATTATATATCCTACTAAGTCCTTCCTGTCAAATTGATCAATATATTATATATCTACCCCTTTCATCTATTGGAGACTGATAGTGTCCTTTGGATGATTCTCAAATCTGGTGAATTAATAGCTTAGTACATGTTTAACTAATTAAGTTGGTTAATTGAAGCGCATACAAGTTGGCTTGAACACTATCGCTATAAAAAAAAAAATATTATGTTGATGTATTTGATCCTGTTTTACGTACTTACAGTATTTTACTAAAAATATCCAAAAACGTATATTTTTGTGGACAAGATGACCAATAAAGGGTACGTACTTAATAAAAGATGTTTACGAAGATGACCTTGTTGACAATTTCTTTTCAATATAAAATATAAAATAATAGTTGGGATAACGGAGAGACTAAAAATTCAAAGGAGGTATCAAAGTTACCTTTTGAATTTTAGTTAGTAATTTTTTACATGACCACCAAAAGTTGTGCTAGACTGGTAATTAATGCTCTTCCGTTCTTAATCAGAAATTTAATTATTCGAGCCTAAGAATGAAGTCATCTTTAATAGGGAACGATCTACTCCAAAGGTTTGGGGACCAAAAAATCTGCATGGCGAATACATCTCGAAATATATGTTTACATATGAAAAAATCAAAATATACACATAATAAAATATCAAAACTATATTGTAAACTCATATATTTTGGATTCACCCATAATAATACTGTTATTCTAATATTTTGTGAGATAAACCTTTTATCATTTCCTACAATAATTCCATCTTGCTTTATTTTGTCGTTTGTAGAGATACCAAAAGTTGTTGCTTTCTACTATAAGAACCCAAGTTGGATAATATATCCAACCAAAAAACATTAATGTCCATCCAATCATCTTTCTCTTGGCCTTACATCCTATTTTCATTAACCCTACCTTGTACTACAACATATCATCATATAAACCAACTAACTAAATAGTTGTTGATATACAACTCTCTTCCCTCCTCCCCTTTCAACAACCAAAAGAAGAAGACCCCCCCC